GTCTATAATAATTATATAATAAATAATAAATATATATTATTATATTATTATTATATATTAAATATATATCAAACATATATAAAATGCTACCCTATTTAATGCATAGGGTAGCATTTTATATATATATATAGATTAGTATATGTTTGGCACTTGGGCCTCCTGGCCCAATAACTTTAAACCTGTTTGAAAACTGTATCCCTCAAGTTTTTAGGTTGGGGTTTGAACCCCCACCCCTATAATGTACAGCACTTAAAAAAATTAATATATGTTTGAAATGATTTTTATATTTATTTATTAAAAATTAATTTTAAATGTGAATTCATATTTTTATATTTAATAATTATTAAAAAGATGTTGTATTAAGATGCACGTAACATGATTTTAGAGTCTAGTTTTCTTTGAAAATGAAATCCTCAATACGTTTTGTCCTTAAAATGTTCTAAATTCATAAATTTAGTCAATAATTACATTTGGTATAATGTTTTATTTATTTAGCCCCTTAACTCACAAAATTTAATTTCATGTATTGTGTCCGGTAAGAATATCCTGTTAAAATGGAAAGTTTGGGATTATTCCCGACCCTCTTTTCTTGAATAACCATCCTCATATATATATATATATATATATAAGACAACGGATTTATCTGTTTAAGACACAACACAATATTAAGAACAACAAGTGAAGATGTCTGGATTTCAATGGCCTCCGTATCCACCTTGTGATAACAGTAGCTGTGCTTCCTTAAAATGCTGCGTTTTGGGTATATATTTTCTGCCCAACATATTTAAACATTATATCTCCAACTATTAACTAAATTCTCTCAGTCTCTTATTTTATTTTATTTTTTTTATCTTACCATTAATCAGTTCGCGTGACCTTAATTTAGTGATTTAATTATGTATTTTTCTTCTTTTTTATGTCGTAGGTCGTTATAAAATATCAGTGGCCAGAATTGTTAGGAAAGAAAGGGAATGAAGCTAAGTCAATAATTGAAAAGGACTGTTCGGCTTGTGCCTCCGGGCCATGGAATGTTTTTTGATTTCTGTTGCAACCGTGTTTGTGTTATAATTGACAAAGACGATATTATTCTTCAACCTCCTCGTGTTGGTTAAATCAATCCCCTACAATTAATTTTCTGAATAAAATGTTTTTTGAATGGATTACAATTTTAAAAAAAGGGGATTCAACCCCAACTCAACATTAAGGGGTTGCACATTATGAGAAAAACATATAACAATTGAGTCACAAAATTTAAGTGTTTCTAATAAAATGTTTAAATTTTATTTCATGTGAGGTTCTAAATTCAAAAAATACGTATGACAAGGTCTAGTGAATTACAATCCAGGCAAAAACCGAAGCCACGCAAAGGACTCATCCGGGTTCCAATCTCAATCTCCTGTGGGCTATGACCCAAACAGGCAAACAAACACCCTCTTACCAAATTTTATTTGAAATCACCACTTGGGTGGAGGTTATCTACTTATATGTAGATATAATAGCGTTTAAGTTATAATCACAAAGAAAATTTAGTAAATTACATGCAACACAAACAAATGTAATTGAGTTAAGAAGATTTTATATAAGAAAGAATGTAGAGTTGAATTGAGGCAATAATAATTGTGTTTCAGAATTAAAATTATTGGTTTGTTTAATTTGGGCCTTAATATGCATCATATTGGATATTGATTTTTGAAATATTTAAAGATGAAATCCTAGAAGACTAGCGAAAATGGTATATTTTTCTTTGTACTTTAGATAATTATTGAAATGAATCTTTATATTTTTTTCTTAAAAATAAATCTCCTCATATTTTTAAGTTAAATAAAATTAAAATTAAATAAAATTACTACTCATATATTTTAATTGAAATAAGTTAATTAAAATTTAACAAATAACGAGTAATAAGTTATCATTCTTTTTCCTTCAATACCCATTATATTTGTGCCGATTTAACAATTTTAAGCCTAATTTTTTATGACACGTGACATTTTCTTTTTTTATAATCAAGTTAATTAACAAAAAAAAGAGTTTACCAATCTTATTGGACTATTTGTATAAAAAAATACTATGCCATAAAATAAAGAGAAGTCAAGATTACCAAACCAACAAGTACAAGATCTTAACGGGTATTGAAAATAATGACATATAATTACTTCACCACTTGAATTTTGACTAATTTATTCAATGTTTAAAAGTGAACCTAAGGTGAATCCGTTTTGACCTCCGACTTTTGTTAGACCAATTTAATAAATCAAGGTTCTCAATATTGTATTGGTATATGTATTAATTTTATTATTGGTATAATATATATATTGTATATTAGATAATATCGTATATTATTTTAAATTTATCACTATAAATATATATTTGTATAAATTAAATATAAACTTTTATGATTATACTTATAAAAATAAACATACATTGTAATATTTATATAATATTAAAAAGAGAATAAATTACAATTATTGTCATAATAAGTGAATTTAAATCCACCACATGTAACCTCACCTCCCATTTATTTTTGAGAAGATCAAATCCCTCCGATGCTTTAACTTTACAACTTTTTTTCTTCTAATTATTAACAATCTAAAACATATTGCTTCTATTCTCTCACTCGAAAACTTTTACTTTTTCATTGATGAAGCTTTGTATTTGTTACTTAAGAGGTTCTTGAAATTTTTAATAATTGTTATGACCAAACTTTCTTCAATACTCTATATGATTAAGGTTCAAAGGAAATCCACATTTTCTAAGTTATCTTTTCATTTTCTTGTCTTATTTAAGTCTAACCACAATTAGGGCTCTTTCTTCAATTTCTTTTCTTTCTCTCTCTACTTTAGAACTCTCCTCCTTCTAACTACATCTTCCCTAAGTTCAACTTTTTCTAGTGCTCGGAAGCCTTCAGCTTCACAAGTTTTTTAGGTGTTGGGAAGCCCTCCGGCTTCTCAAGCACGATGGAGATGGCCTTTCGTGCTCTTGTGTTCGATGACCACCTTGAGTGGTCTATCGATATGTTTTGTGGCCCCTTTAGTGGCCTTTTTCATTTCTTCCTTTACTATTTCTTGTTTTTCTTTGTTTTGTTTACTCAAATCTGGTCGCCAACATGCCAACAAAGCAAAAATTAGGGGTTGGCCGTTGCTTGTCTTGATCTTCTTGCCACGGCATCTTAGAGGGCGAGCTCATCTTTAAGAGCAGATTGAAGGATGTTTAATTCTTGAAACAATCGACCAAAAGAATTTGTAAAAATCAAGTTTCTTAGATATTATTCGTGTGATTATCATTGTCCTTCCTTCTTTATATTTGTCATTTGTTGAATTTAAACTACTCTGATTGTTTTCTCTAGTAAGCTTTATTTGTTCTATCATCTGGTCTTATCGCTAAGATCAAAATCTTTTATGTAGATGCCCAATGACTTTGCTTTAATTACAAAAGTTCAGCTGAGTTTTTAAAAAAAAAATTATAACCAAAATTATATTTTAACTTTCATTTTGCATTTAAGCTTTTTGTCCCTTTCTTTTTTTTGACTCTTTCTATTTATATATTATTTATCTATACCAACTGATACACTAAATTTTAGCCAATACAATAATACGACTTGCATATGATCAATGCGATTGGTATTTGACTCAGTACAATATTTAAAGTATAACATACGAATTTTATTCTCAAACAAATACGTAACACATGGTACGGTATCAGATCAACGACCTGGGAACAAATTGAACCGCCAGTCTAGCGCTTTCCTTTATTAGATGATACTTTCTTTGTCTCTTTACCAGGAGGCAAAAGTGCTTATAAATTGAATGTATACTGCTAAGGGAAATTCTTCCCAGTAATACCTAATCAAATGGTTTATCAAAAATCGATACTTGGCAGATCTTAAAAAACACATACTTTTAAAGTACTATCATTACCTTTTATAAAGAAACCCAACCATACCACCTGAATATTATTAAAAGACATCTTATCTTAGTATTCAAACCCCACCCCTTTACCTTCTCGCTCCACCCTGATTTGCCCATATTAAAAAAAGAAAAAAAATCATTACCTTCTATAAATTTAGAATTTTATTAAAAAAAAGTTTATAAATAACTTTTTATGTACTATTTAAGCAAGTTTTAAAAGAACCACACATCTAAACTTTTTTTAAATTTACTTAAAGCTCACAATTTTTGAATCTCTCTAACATAATTTCACTTTTAGAAGAAATAAATAGTACTTTTACAACGAATGCCTTTTTAGCTTTCCCAAACACCTCTTCACCCCCAGCCTGTCCCATAATGAATCCTAAACACCACAGAATAACATCATTGACGCATGGATGTCAAGGAAATCAGTAGTGATTATCCTTTGATTCATTAAAACAGAGAACCAGGAAAAGCATCATCAACAATTATCCAGCAACCACATTAACATATGCTAAGGAAACACTTACGATAGAACACCATACCATTAACATCAGATACCATATCAGCAATTCTCAGAAACAGCAAGAGACAATTAAACACACATCATGGTTTTTCAGGTATCATGCATCTGAATAATAGATATTCATAAGATCCAAGACTAATACAGTACCATTAGAAACAACAAGATCATAACAGATAGAAAGGCCAATATATTACTCAAAGTTCCAAGCAGCAATTCTGAGAAACAGTAAGAGAACATTAAACACACACCATTGTTTTTCAGGTATCATATACCTGGATGATAGATATTCATAAGATCCAAGACTAATACAAGTGCTTTAGAAATAACATGACCATGACAGATAGAAAGGCGAATATATCGCTCCAAGCTTCAGGCAGAAGCAGACGCAGTTGCAGGTGCATGCTTTTCTATTTTCAGCTGCAGATCATCTTTCCTTGCACCCACAATCTTGTCAACCTCTTTGCCATCTTTCAGGAACAGGAAGGTTGGCATTGCTTCAATACCCATATCCTCAGACACAGTCTGTAAACAAAAAGGAAATCATTCATCACAACCCATCACTTTTGAGTCAGAATGTCAGATTGCATAACATAATTACAAGACACTCAGATCTATGGATTTGATGTCTCACCCTCAACTCATCCACATCCACCTTCAAGAAGATCACCTCAGTCATTTTCTTGGCCAATTCTGCGAAGATAGGCGCCATAATACGGCAAGGTCCGCACCATGAAGCAGTGAAATCCACCACAACCTGTCAAACAATTATCCATATAAACCACAGAACCATAGATGATGCTCATATGACCAGCAACCACAATATCAGGGGAGTCCATTAAAACAATAAAATTGGGGGAAAATAAATGGAATAGTAAAGGGAACATTTGACAGAAGAAAAATGGGTTCAACGACAATCCTTGCTCACAAATAAATCTTAAGACCATATCTCAAGAACCCACGAAAAAATTAAGCGAAATTAAGCGAAGATTAATAGATCAAGGAGCGAAACCCAGAAAGATTATGAGATTCATAGCAGAAATCACTTTCAAAACAAACAAGATTACAGAGAAACCTAAAACCAGAGATCGATCAGCAGAGTAAAAGCATACACCCAGAACAATTAACAACACAAAATAAATGGAATAGCAAAGGGTCCATTTGGCAGAGGAAGAATGAATTGAAGGACAATCCTTTCTCACAATTAAATATTAAGATCATATCTCAAGAACCCATGAAGAAATTAAGCGAAATTAAGCGAAGATTAATAGATCAAGGAACGAAACCCAGAAAGATTATGAGATTCATAGCAGAAATCAATTTCAAAACAAACAAGATTACAGAGAAAACCTAAAAATAGAGATCGATCTGCAGAATAAAAGCATACACCCAGAACAATTAACTACACAAAATAAATGGAATAGCAAAGGGTCCATTTGGCAGAGGAAAAATGAATTCAAGGACAATCCTTTCTCACAAATAAATATTAAGACCATATCTCAAGAACCCACGAAGAAATTAAGCGAAATTAAGCGAAATTAAGCGAAGATTAATAGATCAAGGAACGATACCCAGAAAAATTATGAGATTTATAGCAGAAATTACTTTCAAAACAAACAAGATCACAGGGAAAACCTAAAAATAGAGATCGATCTGCAGAATAAAAGCATACCCCCAGAACAATTAACTACACAAAATCAAGGGAAGTGGAAAGAAAACAATACCAGCTTCTTGGACTCTTTTCCCTTCTCCAAATGTTGAGTCCATTCCTCGACGGTGTGGACGCCGATCACCTGTCCCTCTTCTGCCATCTTCTCTCTCTTTCTCTGAATAACAACTGATGAAATTTTTTTTTTCGCGTATATTTGTGAATGTAGACAGGTTTTGCGCTTTTATAGCGGGGATTCCCAATGGGTTCCCAGAGCCATTGAACGACGTCGTGACGCACTCACATACGTTGACTAAGGAACCAGGGGATGCTACAAATTGCGCACGGGAACACCGCGTGGCGGTGACCCACACGGTCTGTGGTACATTCCAGATTTTTCTGGATAAGCACGTTGCGGATTGGCTCATTGGTTACTGCAATGCTAAGCAAGGAATCTAGAAAGTTCCCAGCTCTTTCTGAATGGATCGGGGGCCCAACTCTGTAGATGGGCTGGGACTTGAACATATCCAAATACTTTTCACTTTTCTTAAGAAACCACGGCCCACAGTCGTGATTTCTCATTTTTAATTTAAGAAAATGACTTACTAATAATTTTTTTACATAATTTTATATATTATTTAAATAAATAATTTATTTATTTATTTAAAATTCACGATATTATATATATTTATTTAATAATATATAAAAACTAGTTTTTGTTTTACCCTTGC